ATACATATATATCATTAGAAACAGATGAAGCAAAAAGCTTATAGTTTTAATTCTAAAAATTTGTGATCTGTACTTTACAAATCCCTGTTTGCATGGCAGTCTGAGTACTGTCAATTCACAAATGTATAATGTTTTCAGCTTTCCTTTTAAATCTGATTTGATTCAGTCATTTCATCAGTGAATTTAGAAAGGTCTGTTCGATTTATCAGATCATGTTATTTTACTTATCAAAAATAAGGCATATGATGAGTTATCCATACGTTATAAAAATCCATATTTCAGCATCTCAGTTGTTAAAATTCCTAGTGTTTTTTGTTTAGAAGGCATAAAGATGTACCTGTTAGCCAGGTTTTGGTGGCTCACCCTTCTAATCCTGTCTGCTCAGGAGGCTGAAATCTGAGGTTCATAATTCACAGCCAGCCTAGGCAGAAAACTCCATGAGGCTGTTACCTCTAAATAACCAGCAAAATGCCAGAAAAGGAGATGTGATTCATGTTAGGGCACAAGCCTTGAATGAAAAGCCAAGCAGGAGCTTGAGGTCCTGGCTTCAGACCCAAGTACTGGCACAAAAAGAGAGAAGCCAAACACTGGTGGCTCACGCCTGTAATACTCAGGAGGCTGAGTTCAAAGCCAGCTGGGAGAGGGAGAGAGAGAGAGAGAGAGAAAGGAAAGAAAAAAAGAAATATGCTTGGTTTTTAAAGGGGAAAAATATAAATCATTTATCTTAGCATTTCTTTTCTCATAGGTTTCTGCCTGGGGTGGTTATGTGTTTATCATCAACCTTATTCCTCTGCATGTATTTGTGCTACTATTGATGCAGAGATACAGCAAAAGAGTCTACATAGGTAAGTGATCTGACTTTTGAAATTTGTGTAGTAAAACTTAAAATTCTTTGAGCAGGTTTGGTCAGTATTGCCTATGAAAATTTAAAACTAATTTTGCATCCACTTTGCTTTGTGTTTTGATAGGAAGATAATGTATTTTTACATTAGTGCTTTGTTAGCAACTTTAACTAGATTGTTTTTGTCAATAATTCCAGAAAAAATATTTTTGGCCTCTTTGTAATTTGGAATAGACATTTTATCAGACATTTTATCATCATAGTGTATTCACTATAAAAGACTGATATCTTTAAAATAAATTATTCATTATTTACTAAATTTATTGGAGGCCCTTTTGTATCATATACCACTGAGTTTCTATTATCTCTAAAAAGTATATGTTTTTATTATTGGCTTTTTAAAAAGCCTTATATTAAGATGCTTAGTGAAAGATGAAATCTTAACTTAGAGTATATTTTTCATGAGAAGAACTTTATAGGTTGAGTGAATTAGAGAGCAACTGAAATTTGAAACCAATGTCTTGGGAAAATAATAACAATTTTATTATAGTAATGTAGTATAGTAAAACTAATAAAAATGGCCAAACAGTTCCTTAAAAATTAACCATAGAGTTGCACTGTTTATTTACTCAACAGAAAATATATGTCTTACAACACTTAGATATGAATAAAACTTGGTCATGAATGTTCATAGCAGTATTTATTATTAATAATAGTCCAAAAGTGAAGACAACCTAAATATCAATTAATGAATAAAATGTGATTTATACAAATATTATACTGAGGAAAAAGAGCCACATATAAAAGGCTACACAATATTATACTGTCCAAAAATAAGCAAATTCATTGAGTCTAACAAAGTAGATTAGTGGTAACCAGGGGCTTGGGAAAGGGGAGAATGATGAATGGGAAGAATGATGTTAATGGATAATGGGGTTTCTTTTGGGGGTGAGAAAGTAAGTATTCAGGAATTGGATGGTCACAGAACTCTGAATATATCAAAAGTTACTTCTTGTTAGGATTTTAGAAGATGAATTTTTTTATATCACAGCAGAAATCAAAATAAGAGATTAATAGTATATTAATGACGCTTCACTATAGTTTGTAACAATCCATCACTGAAATTATATGTACCACCTTTTATATACTACATTCTCTTCTAAATTTTTTATTCACAAAATTATATTTTATAAGTATATGTCAAAAGAATGGGGATTTTATTTTGATAATCATATAGATATAGTGTATTTTGAACAGTGTACTATATACTGTTTTCCTCCTTTAACACCCTTTCCTCCTCCACTACATTTCCAAACAGTATTTGATGGGTTTCATTATGATATCTTCATACATACATACATGCATAAATATATATATTTATATGTATATGCAAAATATTTTGCTCCCCTAATACTCTTTCATCCTCTTGTCCATCCTACTGATGCCCTCATTTCAGATAGTTCCCTCTTTTATACTCAGATTTTCTTGTTGTTATTATCATTTTGGGTCTAAATTTAAGCAAAAACATAGGATATTTGTCCTTTTTAAACTAGGCTTATGTTGTTCAATATTGCGATACCATTTTCATCTGTTTGCCTGCAGATGACATTTTCATTTTCCTTAATTGCTGTAAAATCGTCCACATTGTATACCACATATTCTTTATCCACTCATTGATTGTTGGGCACCTAGGCTGATTCCACAACTTGGCTATTTTGAGTAGTGTTGGTATACACATAGGTATGTTTATTATATGTTCACTTATACTCCTTTAAATATATATCCAAGAGTGATATGACTGAGTAAAAAGATAGGTATTTTTTAGCTTTTATATTTTTTTCAGTCATAGGACTTAAACTCATATGGCCTGGGTGCTGTTCCTGAGCTCTTTTGCTCAAGGCTAGCGCTCTACCACTTTGAGCCACATCACTACTTTCTGTTTTCTGGTAGTTGCTTGGAAATAAAAGAGTCTCACAGACTTTCCTGCCTGGGCCAGCTTTGAACTGTGATCCTTAAATCTCAGCCTCCTGAGTAGCTAGGGTATAGGCAAGAGCCACCCGCACCCAGCTTTTTTTTAACTTTTTAACCTTTTTGATTAACCTCCATGCTGATTTCGATAGTCACTGCACTAGTTTATGTTCCCACTAGCAGTATGTAGGGTTTTCCCCCTTGCCCATATCCTCACTGCCACTTGTTAATATTTTCTTAATGATTCCCATTCTGACTGGAGTAAGATGAAATCTCAGGGTAGTTTTAGTTTGCACTTAACTGTATGGCTAAGGATTTTGAACATTTCATATATTTAGTAGCCATGTGTACTGTTTTGAGATCTGTCCATTTGCCCATTTATTAAGCAGGTTACTTTTTTCTTTTTGATGTTTAATTTTTTGAGCTCTTTGTATGTTCTTGATATTTAGCAATTTAATCACTGATGAATTTTTTTTTCTGGTTCTGCAAGTTGTTTCTTGCTTTTGGCAATTGTAATTGGAAATTTTAATTTGTAAAACTTTTTAATATAATCCCACTGTTAATCCTTGTTCTTATTTCCTATGCAGTTGGAGTCCTATCAGAAAGTAATTAACTATGGCTGTATTTTACAGTGATTTTCCGGTTGTAATTTCAGAGTTTCATATTTTAAATTTAATTCTTTAACCTCTTTTGAATTGATTTTATAGAGTTACAGAAAGGGGTCTAGTTTCAGTCTTTGGCATGTAGCTAATCAGTTTTTATTAATATGGCTATTGGATAACTCCAGCATTCCTTTTTTTGTTTAGGATTACTTTTGCTATTTGGAATATTTAACGTTTCCATACAAATTTTAGGACCTTTTTTTGTGCAAAGAGAAAATTGGTACTGCTACTCTATGCATTTTATAGATGAGGAGTTAGAAGAGGAAGCATCATAATTTGCTACATATCATGTACCTCGTAGTAGAGCCAAGGCCTGAGTTGGAGCCTAAAATAAACCACTATAAATACATGCTTATATAATCACATAACTTTGATGTTGAAATATATCAGCCTATGATATTTGTTTATTCTGAAAACATTATATAATAAACAGTAACTGAGGTCCAGAAAGAATGGTAAAGTACAACCTCAGATTTTTGTTTTGGAAAAGTATAAGGAAAAAGTTTTTTAAGTTAAATGGTTACAAAGGAATAAATATGAGGATTTTGTTGTTTAGTGTTAAATAATTGGGGTTTTTAGTAATTTAACAGGAATACAATCAGGAAAAGAAGATTGTGACACTTGTGAAATGCCTGTAAATCATGAAGACGATCCATATAGATGTCAGAGGTGGTAATACAAATACATTGTTAAGGAGGGCAAGGAAAAGTATTTTCTACATTAAAGTTTAAAACACAAGGCAGCATTCAGCGCTCTTTAAATTTAGCACCAAGATGAGATCAGAACTGAATAAAAGGATGAGAACTGAAAAAAAACCACCTTACATTTGGTAACTCAAGTTTTTCTAATCACTCTAGGAAAAAATGTACACTTTAGTTGGTCTTTGAGAATATTCTTCTTTGCATAGCAAAGAAAAACTAAAAGGCTTTAGGGATATGTATATATAAAGTTAGATTAGTAAATAATCTCAGGGAGTCCTAATTGTGTTAAAGTTCTCCACTATTGTTTTTCTCTAATTGATAATTTTCTCTAAATGATTTAATAGAACTTAAAATAAATGGAGAGTGGAGCTATAGAGCAAGTATTCTTCTTCCTTTATCGAAATGTATCAGGATTTAATTTTTTGTCCTAATTTTAGCGATTCTTTTAAAAATACTGAGAGCATGATAATGTGTTTATATATAAAGTTGTCCTTTGAATTTAGCATATAACATCCTTTCTATAGTTTTCCCTCCCCTGGAGAAAAATAAAGGTGGATAAATGGAGAACTCAGCCCTACTAACTAAATTTGTGGTTGTGATCGAAGTACCAAACTAAATGAATTTGAGTGAATTATTTTCATTCAGCTTATTTTAAAATTACTTTCCCTATGAATGTAATTTTTGCAAATGTCCATGGGATCAGTTGTTAATATAACTAGAGAAAACTTTGAGCCGGGTAAATGCCTGTAATCCTAGCTACTGAGGAGACTGAGGTCTGAGGATCATGGTTCAAAGCCAGCCCTGGCAGGAAAGTCCGTGAGACTCTTATTTCCAATAAACCTCTCAAAAACCGGAAGTGGCGCTGAGGCTCAAGCGGTGGAGCACTGGCCTTGAGCTGAAGAGCGCAGGGACAGCGCCCAGGCCCAGAGTTCAAGCTCCATGACCAACCATAAATAAATAAATAAGAAAACTTTGATGTTTACATTGCTTTAAAAAAATTTTTATTAATGTTTACATTTTAAGGAGGCCCATAGAACCTAATATGGGTATATGGTGGTGAGAGAGGAACAGCATAGGAGTTGAGACCAGGGAGGTAAAAAGAAGCTGAGTCCAGGTCCTTGAGTGTAGGTCAATAATACCAATGGAGGGAGGCAGAGAGAGGCAAGTCCCAAGTCTGGTACTTACAGCCCCCCCCCCACTAATTGGTAATTTTTCATTTATTTTTAAAACAATCTTGAATGCAGAAAAAATCCTATAGTTTCAACAAAGATAATTTCTAAAAATCCATATATCAAAATACTTTGTGTTTCTCAGGTGGCAGACAGTGGTATGAGTGTTTAGTGTTTCTTTGAATTTTATCTTATAATAATGTTTGTCTTTATGGTCCTACGCTTTGTAAAAATTATTCTGAAGCTCACACTATATTTTGGGGGGGGGGTCACTTATGTTGCTTGAACTCAGGCCCTGGACTCTGTCCCTGAGCCTTTTTGTGCTCAAGGCTAGTGTTTTACCACTTGAGCCAAAGCACCACTTCTGGATTTTGAGTGGTTAACTGAGATAAGATTATCAGGGGACTTTTCTGGCTAGGCTGGCTTCAAACTGTGATCCTCAAATCTCAGCCTCCTGAGCCACTGGCACTCAACTGAAGTGTATACTCTTTTCTTTTTTGTGTG